TCTATCTATCTATCTATCTATCTATCTATCTATCTATCTATCTATCTAATTATATTTAGAATGGTGGTATCTCAACTTTTAAAGATTTCAGAGGCACAGAACTTACACATTGTGTAATATTAGCTGGAAACAGCCCGAGATTGAGTATGCATTAAAGTTCCCAACATGAAAATATTCTCAACATGGCCAGTACTTGAGCTGAATGCTTGGTTCTCAATTCACTGATCCATAATATCCTTGAATAAAAACCACCCCCACACATAGTCACATATACATAGTCTCCCTTTGGGGTATAGTCAGAATTTACATTTGTAACAAAAATCATAAAACTCAACCTCAAGTTAGAAAATCATGTATTCATTGAAAAAAAGCAGGCTTCACAACTTAAAATTAGGAAATGTGGATTACCAAATTTCCAATATGTTAGCTTGGTGAACTAAGAAGCTGACCTATATTTAAGATATTTTAACATAAGGCACCAAAATATGAAGGATGTACACCACCATTTTCAATAAAAGTATATCTATTTTTACAAGACTGAAGGAATTTAAATTGAGCATGTTACTTGGTGTGTCTTGAAGACCAGTTGCCACCTGCAAAGTCCTTGCTAACAATCCACAGTAAGATAAAATAGTTTTGATAAATAACTGATCATAAATCATTACCAACTAAGCACAATGTTTAACTCAGCTGATCTTTATTACTTTTCTTTTTTTGTTGTTGCATTATCTTCTCCCTGTAAGTTGTTACACCTCCAGGTGCAAAGTCTTTATGCTATTGTAAGCTAAAACTGCAGAAAACATAAGTCATTCTGGCCTTCAACATGGGACCTGTTTAATGGCTCCCCATCCCGTCTTATCTACTCCGACTGTGGCAGCCACACTCAATGAGGAGGCTCTTTCTCCAGTCCACGTAGACTAGGGAAATGTGTCTCCAATCTGGCTCCACAATAATAAACATGTAATATATAAATGTAAGATAGAACCAGAGACTTCAACCTTGAAATTTAAAGCTATCACATTAGGAGTTGGTGGTCCATTCCCTTACTAAACATAGAACTATGCAGGTCATTTTCACAGGATGGCATTCTCACTTATATGGAAGACACCAAACTAGAAGTCTAGCCCATAGAAAGGTGCTGCATCCTTCCTTATCTGTTTTGCTTTTTCAGGCTGCTTGGGGTGGAGGGTTACTGATGTCCCGGAAACACAAGTGGAAGCTGAGCGGTGTGGAGAGGTACGTGTAATTTCCTAGTCTGTAATATAGAGTGTTAAAAGCTACATAAAAGAAAATGGCACTCAACTTCTAAGGAAGTCTTGGAATGCCAGCAAGCCCGCTCTGCCTGTACTTATGAGCCTTGCCTATTCCTAAGTGGGGAAAAAAGTAACCTATGGAGAATGTCTTTCAAAATTGAGGTTTGTCTCTAGAGTCCATTCCTTCCATCTTTGAATCAAACACCATGATTTTAAAACCTGCAAGCTGTCCACCTTTTTCTAGAGAGAAGATCGATTTCTTTCATGTTGTTATAAGAATAGTATTCATGGCTTTTCAATACATAGTTTTATCAAAGCAGGTAAACATCTTGTCATTTGTAATACTGCTAGTTACCTTTCGGATTAGATATAGCCAGCTGAATCCAAGTAAGATGTGCCAGCGACTTCATTCTCCTAGCTTCATTCCACAGTGACCCTTTTCTGACATAACTCAGATTGATACAGTAAGTAGCTTTTATCTGGGGCTGGTGCAGCAGACCATTGAGAAAGGCTGCAGAACACAAAGAAAGTAATATTTGATTAGCATAAAACATATTGAGGTCCAAGGGGGAAAGCAGACTACAAAATATGGCCTCAGGCTGTGCTTCTGCACCACATGCAAAGGGCGACCAGTTTTCCCATCACAGCCCAGCAAGTCAACCAGGGCAGCTACAGTCGTGAATTCTGACACTCCAGACAACAGAGAAAGCCTTAATTCATCAGAGGCTGCCAACTGCCTACTGTGCCCTGCCAAGTATCCAGATACTGTTCAGGAAAAGATTCACCCTGGCTCTGCCCCTAGACATCTTGGCACAAGTTCCATTTCAGGACTGGAGTAGAGGCTTCGGGAGCTTGGGAGCATCTGTCAGCATACAGAGAGGCCAGACCTGAGGGGATCTGTGCAATACCCAGCCTGCTCACAGGCCTGCACAGAACCCATGAATGTTGACGTGGAAGAGGAGGAGGTTGAGGATAGAGCCAAGAGTGGCCTGTTGAATTAGCAGAAATAAGCCTGGGAAAAATTCAGGACAAAGCAGCCAAGCCCTATGTTATGGGATGACTATTCCTGAGTCTGCTGCCAGGAGCCCTGGCTCTTGAAATATAGCAGGGGTTAAGTCTCTAGCACTGTCCCTGTTCTGACTCCAAGGCTCATGGGGGAGGGGAGGGGAGGGCAGGTGAGCTTCCACCTAAGTTTGGTAGAACCCTATACCATACATGTCTACCCAGAACTGAACTCCTGTGCTTTGAGAAGTGGCCAGTGCACAATACCTCCTATTCTCTGATTGTTTCTGACTGAAAGAAAGTATAAGCATCTTTTATACTACCTTTAATGCCTCTTCATGCTGCAAGTGCAGAGAACCATGGAGCACCCCACCACCTCCATCACTTGAAAGCTCACTAAATTACCTACCTGAAGCCTCAGAAAAACAAACACCTACACGCTTTTGTACTAAAGACTATTATTTCAGAGAAAAGCTCAGGGTATTCATCTTGGAACATGGAGTCCTTTGTGTTCTTGTTGCCACAATTCTCGAAACCAGGTTGTAACTAAATTTACCAAATGTAATAGCCCAGGGTGGAATACTCAGAAATAAGGACACTGCCGTGTCATACTCTGAGCACACGAGGCAGATGGTAACCATCCTAGAGTTTTTTAGCATGACGTGCACTCTCTTTGGTGACTAAGATCACAGAACAGTTGGACATTGCTGGAGCTCAATTGTATGTGGGCTTCATTTTAAGAAAGAAGTGTGTCTAAGTTGGAGAAATAAATTTTCTCTAAGTATCACAAGCTAAAGCTTATGACTCAGTCTAGAGGAAAAGGAAATCCACGATCCATTGCTTCTCTGTGGCTTCAGGGCATTCATTCCTGAGTGACATTCACAGAGTAATGGCAAAGCACTACCCACTACCCAAATCCTTCAGATGACTCTCCTTCTTGCTAGCACTGCCTTTCCTAGATCCAGTGTAGCCAAGAAGGCATGCCAGGAGCCTAAATACTCCAGAGTATATCTGACATTGTAAACCAACTCTTCAGTCCCTTCTTCCAGGGGATTTAAAGACTCTCTGAGGGTTGCAGTAAAACAGAGGCGGCAGCATCAGTTGCCTTTGATTCTACTTGAGAGCCAAGGCAAGTATTATGATAAGGAAGATGGAGGAAGACATGGTCCTTCCTAGATCTCATCATTCCAGGCAACATGGGCCAGACATCAGCTCTGGAGCTTAGCATCATCCAGTGAGGGGCAGAAATGAAAGAAGAGTATTCCCTCTGGAGAGCAGAGATATTTGGTAAATGTCCTTGAAAAAAAGTTGAGTTCAGTCTGATTGGAGGGTAGTGTGTTTGTTGCCTTCCATGTAGAGGTAGGACAGAAAAGTGGTAGAAATACAGAAATCCTGTCCATGGAGTTGGCAGAATATCTTCCACAAATATAAGTCACCAGAGCTGCTGTCTGGATGCCATGGACCCCTGAGCTGGATTGTTTATTAGCTTAAATAAGATCATGGGTACACTAAGTATCATCATTCATCATTTCATCCCAATGCTCTCACCCTGATTAGAGAGTTAAGAGCAGCAAGCTAGGGCACTGTGGACACAGCTGATATGGGCTGTTCCGCTGCCTTCCTTCCTCATGTGGGTTCTTTATACAAAGCACCATGGCAAGCATTGAGCTTGCTTGGTGAGTATGGATTTCTTGGGGAAGCAGTTGCTTTCTCTGGGCACTGAAGGGAGAGGTTGGAGTAGTGCTGTGGGAGTTGGGGAGACGCTAACGGAACGTGAATAAGGTCGCAGAGATACTTAAAGAATCAGGATCTAGGGACAAATAAAATTAAACCAAGTGAAGGCAAGAAGAGGAGGTAGCAGGGCAGGCCCAAGAGCAGAGTAGACCATTCAGAGACCAAGAAGCAATCTGTGTAATGGAGATGGTAAGGGAAGGGAAGGGACACAGACTGAACACAGGCCTCCCTGAGGCATCGCTAGTCACGTGCTGTGGTTTGGAATTTGAGCTTTAGGGAAATGGGGTGCTGACAATTTAGGAACAAGAGAAACTGAGACTATAAACAAACTGTAAAATAATTCCAATGACAAAGATGGGGTGTGGGGGTCAGTTAAGACTATCCAGATTAAGCTAATTGTAATTCTTATTAAAGAAACATGAACCATGGTCATAATGTAGTGTAAGTCCCTGAGCTGTGCCTCTTAGAGCCACAGTTACTGAAGGAACATAGCGCTGTAGAGGAATGAGGACAAATTTCATTGGAAATTCTGCTGTAAGGTAGATATGGGCAACCATACCCATAACCCCAGTACTCAGGAAGCTAAGAGGAGGGCAACAACTTTGAACCATCATAGGCTTTGTAGTGAGATCCTATTTCAAGGAGAAAAAGAGGAAGAGAGGAGAGAAGGGAAGGACACAGAGGAGAAGATAGCAGAACCTCTCCTGTATGGGCCACACTGCTCAGCACACACAGCATCAGGTTAGAGAAGAGATGGTCTGGGAGGAATAGCAGACCTATTCCTCTGGAGGGACACGTGAGAAGGACAAATGCCATCAAAGAAAGGACAATCAATGCAGTAATGTTTCCTCACAAAGACCACTGTGACAAAGTAAGAATCAGGAACAATAGAAGCTCCAGGGTGACTCTTTAAGTGCTCTGGCCAACAGTGGCTAAAGACAGGACCCTGAATTGTGACTCAGTCACCTTAAAGGCCCTGAGACAACCTTATAGGCAGACGTCTACTTTCATTGGAGGTGCTGAGGAAGGAAAAAGTGAAGCATTGTTCATCACTCCTCTATGTGAAAAATGGAAGGCTACCATTCTGGAAATGGGGTGTCATCCTGGGGCATGGGAAAAGGACAGCAAACTGGAAGCTCTGAGGGGCAGAACCTCAGTGGTCTGAGCCTGATGTGGGATGCCACCCTCTCCTGTGATTGTCTTTTAGGGCCAACTCTGTGACATGGAATCCCCACAAGATGATGGGTGTCCCCTTGCAGTGTTCGGCTCTCCTGGTTAGAGAGGAGGTAAGCATTCCCTGACTCTGGGGCCAGTCCAGGGGCGGATCTAACTTGTCATGCAGTTGGTGTTCTTTGCTGAGGTCCAGGTGCTCACACTTCCCACAGGGAGCCCTGCTGATCTCTCTTTGGAGGGAAAGGATCAGATGCCTAGAGGGGAGAGGAAGACTGAACTCTCAGCCTTCAGAACTGAGACCTTCACTCCATCTGCATGTTTTCTTCAAACTCCTTTCCTCGGCTCAGACCTGTAATACAGAGATCTTCTATGGCCCCCTCTCAGAAAATTACATCTACAGTTTGTTTATGAAAATATGAGTAGTTTTTAGCCGTAGGAAATGTATGCATAACAAAGAATTGAAGTTAGTGTTAGCATTTACATATATATGCATATATATATGCATGTGTATATTATATATCTCATATTTAAATTTGAATGTCATATTCAGAATGTAAATTTAATCCATCTACATATGTATTTACCACAATGAGAATAAGTGATGGCTGCTTTTATTCAAGGTACTTAGATATTTGCAAAGTCTGAGAGAGATTCTCGCTGTTGGCCAACACCTCCACCTCTCCCTTCATGGTTCCGGGATGCAGTCATGGTCCTCACCTCACATTCACTGTTATATTGTTAACAAAAGCAAAGCAAAGAGGCAAGTGTGGGATTCACCCTTTGCATCCTAACACTAAGGAGACTGAAGTAGCATAGCTATGGTTCAACTCCAGCCTGGGCTACAGAGCCAGTTCCTGCTTAGAAACAAACAACAAAACCAAGCAAATGAAAGACTAAACCAAGGAGCTTCAGCTCATCCTAATTAAATTTTATCATGTTAAAATCATGATACTAGGTTTTAGTATCATGACTTTTAAATATTTGACTTTACTTGCTTTAATAATATTTCACTTCTTTTAGAATATATAGATAAATTCAGACTCATGCAAAATCCTATTATTTAGAGGTAAATATCATTACTGTCTTTAAATATACTCTCCCATAATTTTATGGGAATGTGCATGTTATATATACATTCATTCTATACATTCAAAATAAAATTGTTACTATGTATAGTATATACATGTATAGTATGACATTCTATATTTAACATTCTACGATGAACGTGATTATTTCAAAACTTTATTTAATGGTCTTTTAGTATCCTATCACATAACACTTAGTTGCTTGATAAAGTCCTTAAGCATGTGTCTTTATTACTTTTCTAATCTGGATCAAAGGGCACAGTTATTTCATTCTTCTTCACAGCTACTAATTTAAGCAGCATGCCTTCATCAAATAAATTAAAATCCGGACACAGATTGAGAACAAAATCCCCTACAAAATTTGAGGAACATATTGTAAAAGTATCCCTTGGGACTGGTTTTCAAAGAGACACTCAGTTACTTTGTCATCATTTACCCAGTGTATAGCCCACATACACCTCAGCAGCACTACTTGAAAGGGAAGAGTAAGTCTTTGTTACTTATGCCTCGGCCAGATGTTCAGTAGTGGTTTGCATTCTGTCACAGCAAGCCAAAAAGAGAACTGCAAGTTAGATGAAAATCGGCCAATCTGGATCTGATTAGATACCTGCACTGGAAAGAATTAGATACCTATCACTGACAACTGATGCTACCTAGGATAGAGCCTTGTGTCTTGGCACCTAACCCATTCCCTTCCAAAGTACACGTTGACAATTTGAGACATGGAAGCGTCTCTCTGCTTCAGACAAGAGGAAGGGAGAAGACAGACTGAACCAGATACAGGCTGTGTTTTAAAGATTAGGACAACTAATCTCATCTGAAAGGGGTCTGCTATTAATTGCTTTTCTCATTGCTGTGACCAAATACTTGATAGGGAGCCATTTCAGGGAGGGAGGGTTTACTTTGGCTCACAGTGTCAGGTGACAGTCCATCCTGATGAGGAAGGCACATCAGCAGGTAGGAGTATGGCATGTGGCTGGGATATCTCACCTGCCTCCAGTCTCTGCTGAACACAAATGCACAGGCAGAAGTGGAGCTAGGCTATAACCCTCCAGACCCCCTCAAGTGAGCCATTTCTTCCTAAAGTTTGCAGTCTCTGAAAACAACACTATCATCCAGAGAATGGAGGTTTCAGTCATGTGCCTTTGGAAGGACCTTTTACATCAAGTCATAGCGTTCTCTCCCTGGCCTCCATACACTCCTGGCTAGCTTTTAACACAAAGTGCAGACAGTTCAAAACTCACTGTAACAGTTTCAGCATTGTCCCAAAGTTTCTTCAGTGACTCAAAGCTGTCTTTCCACTGTGAGCCTCTGAAAACCAAAAGACCCACGATGGCACAGAGTAAATATTCCTACTGCAAAGGGGAAGAATGTGGGTATAGCAAGGAAAGGCTGCATCAAAGGAAGGCTAAAGCTTGAGCTTGAGGAGAAAGGCTAAGGCTTGTGAAAAGGACACAGAACTTCAATAGGTACTATTTAGGGTCAATAAAGCCAAACCAAAATGCCATTCACAAAACCACCAGTGAGATCAAAGAAATATAAATTTGGCACAAGACAGTTGGTATCCTCAGTTGCCACTTGTTGACCTCCTCCCCCCTCTCAGTCAGTGTCTGCTCATTTCTTGATGCCAAATCATAAGTGACACCCCACAAGTGAAACTTGTCACACAGTAAGGAACACTTCATAAACATCTACAATTGATGATTGACATGGGAGGGCCCAGCCCACTATGTGAGGTGCTCTGCTCTCCATGGCTCTCTGTTTACTTTTTTACACAACCTAGGACCACCTGCCCATTGCTCATTGAGGTGGGCCCTCCTATATGGATCATGAAAATGCCCCAAAGACTTTTCCACAGGCCAATCTGAGGGAAGCATGTTTTTTAATTGAAGTTTCTTCTTCTCAGACAAATGATTCTAGCATGTGTCAAGTAGATTAAAAAAAAACTAACCAGATCACACACTGATAAATATAATTAAAAATAAAAGTAAAGACAAGGTTAGCTCTAAGCTGCCTCTAAAATCCAAGAGCACATGCTGTTCTGACCACACACACACTCCCCACCCTTGGATACAATGAACAATGGCATCACACAAAATTGCACTATATATTCTGCGGTGAGGAAAAAAAACTTCAGGTTTTTTTTTAATTGGATGATTTGTTTACATTTATATGTTATCCCCTTACCCCGTCCCCCACCCACCCAGGAACCCCCTATCCCCTCACCCCTCCTCCTGCTTCTCTGTCAATGTACCCCAACCTACCCACCCCACTCCCACCTCCCCAACCTCAAATTCCCACCCCCTGGGGTGTCCAGCCTTCATGAGACCAAGGATCTCTTCTCCCACCTATGCCCAGCAGGGCCCTCCGCTTTTACATATACAGTTGAAGCCCTGGATCCCTCCCTAAGTGCTCCCAGGCTGGTGGTTTAGACCCTGGGAGCTCTGGTTGGTTGTGGCTCTCCTCATGGGGCCACAAACCCTTTCAGCTCCTACAGTCTTCAGTCTGACTCCTCCATTGGGAACCCTATGATCAGTTCAAAGGTTAGCTGTGAGCATTTGCCTCTGAATATGTCAGACTCTTGAAGACCTCTGAGGAGACATATACATCAGGCTCTTATCAGCATGCACTTCCTGACTTCCACATCAGCATCTACCTTTGGTGACTGCACATGGGATGGATACTCAGGTGGGATTGTCTTCAGACGGCCCCTCCTTCAGTTTCTGTTCCTCACTTTGTCTCCATATTTGCTCCCTTGAGTATTTTGTTGCTCCTTCTAAGAAGGACCGAATCACCCCCACTTGGTCTTCCTTCTTCATGAGCTTCATGTGGTCTGTGAGTTGAATCTTGGGTATTTCAAGGTTCTGGGCTAATATCCAGTAATCAGTGAGTGAATACCATGTGTGTTCTTTCGTGATTGGCTTACCTCACTCAGGATGATATTTTCTAGTTCCATCCATTTACCTAGGAATTTCTCGAATTCATTGTTTTTAATAGCTGAGTAATACTCCATTGTGTAAATGTACCACATTTTTTGTATCCATTCCTCAGTTGAAGGACATCTGGGAAAACTTCAATTTAAAACAGTTGAGATATATTGATGAGAGTTTAAAACAAATTCTGACATTCCACGGGATTGTTGAACCATATAATATTATGTTATACATTATAATATATAAACAATATTTAAATATATGGGTTCCTAAGTCTATTTGAATCTGAGACTTCTGTTTTGAGCAGCATCCATGTATTTAGCCTCATTTGGAAAACAGTGGTCTTTGACTGTTTCCTTGCTCAGAACCAGGACATTATCTCATGAAAACCTTGTGTATACAAACCTAGATCACCATTTGCTTCTATGGACATGGTGAGCTTGGTCTTTCCAGTGTCAGCCATGAACACTGAGAGCTGCGAGCTAATCTTTCCGTTTCAGTTGGAGCTGGTCTGACCCATCCACCATCCCATAATTTCCTCCAATCTTTTTTTTTTTTTTTGTGCTTATCACAACTATTTTTGAGCTCCTGATACCAGGGAAAAACTAGTACAAAGTTTTTGTGGCCATGAAACAAAATAGAAGCACCTAGTATAAAGCTACATCTTATCAGTCTGTAAGGGGATTTTCTTTCTCAAATTCAACGCCTTCCTCTTGCTCTAATACAAACACATTACATTTTTGTCTTATTTTCAAAGATAACTATAAAGTCCATGTAATGTGAAGCCCAAGCTGAAAGTAGAGTCAATTCTGTTGTCTACCAAGTGCTCTGTCTATATTGCTCTCCATTTTAGTTTGGCTAACTTTTTTAAAAAAGGTTCTTGCTTCTTCTCCAGTTCAGCGATCACATTTTGGTCTTTTCTTCTCTTGTCATGAGTCACAAGAGAAAGAAAACCAAATGCCAAAGCTTTTATGAAATCACAATTACACAGTAGCTGACAGAAGAATCAGAAGCTTCCAGCAGATATGATAAGTTGAATCGTGGTGGGGTTTCCAGTAAGAGACTGGCGATGCTATTGTACTCAGAAGCATGAGTCATTTGGCGTTCTTTGGAACAATCATTTCACTGCCTATTTCTAGAATAGGGTTATGGTGCTTGGGCAAATTCATGGTCACTGACAGGAACCTCTCCCTTGCAACTACTATAAGCAACTAAATGTGAAAACGTAATCTCTAAACCTGACCGTTGGAAAAGGAACAGGAGATGGGAAAGGTTGCTCATTTAGGTTCCGGATTAAAGCAGCTTTGGATATCTTTTGCATTCTAATATTTAAAAATAAGATCAGTGAGCTATTGAATAGCTCAACGTCTGGTAATTATGGAAGAGTGACGGTGCTAGAAGAATCACAGTAATTTTATTTGAAGACCCAATTGGGGTCAGAGAGATGAGACAAGGGTTAGGCATACTGGCTAATCTTTTAGAGGAATCAGGTTTGATTCCCAGCACCCACATGACAGCTGACAATCATTTGTAAATTCAGTTCCCAGGAATCTAATATCCCTTTCTGGCCTCTTTGGGCACTAATCCACATGGTGGACAGACATACATGCAGGTGGACAGACATACATGCAGGCAGCCTGCCCACACACATAAATCTTAAAAATCAAAGAACCTACAAGTTTCTGAAGCCTCTTCCTTCCCTTCTTTCCCTCTTTCTCATTCACCTTCCTCCTTGGCTATGTAACCAAAGAATGATCTTGCTATGTAACCTTGGCTGGCATGGAACACTGTGTAGACCAAGGTGACCTCAAACTTGCAGCAGTCCTCCTACCTCTACCTCCAAGTATTAGGTTTCTGAAATATTTTAACTGCAACAAATGATGCTTGCCTGGACAGTCTTATCCAGTAGTTTTTCTATTTAATTCTTGCTGTGTTCTTCTTCCAAAAGATACAAGAACATTTGGCTCTCTGATTTTTCTTTCTTAACAATTACCCACAATGCAATGCTAAAGGGAGTGTCCTGAATTTTCTCTTTGCTCCTGTAGGGACTGATGCAGAGCTGCAACCAGATGCATGCTTCCTACCTCTTTCAGCAAGATAAGCACTATGACCTGTCCTATGACACGGGAGACAAGGCCTTGCAGTGTGGACGCCACGTTGATGTCTTTAAATTATGGCTCATGTGGAGAGCAAAGGTGAGCCCAGGCCAGCTGAAAGGCAGCTAAAGAAAACAAAACTGGTCTGACAAAGCTTTTAAAACATTATTGCTAAATGAGAAGTTACTCAGGGGATTCTTTTTAACCCTGTGTCTGCACTGCTGCGTTCTCCATGGGCAAGAGCATAATTACACCCACTGTTTGTCTGCTGTCACACCCTAGGCTTTCTAAGGTTCCCTCAGCTCTAAGACCCATTTTGGTGCATCTAGCAGAACACCCGGATTTTTTTTAAAGAAGCATCTCTTCCTGTTGTCATCTTCGTTATTATTTGGTTTATTTTATGCACCCCCCTTGCCGTCTTGGTTGATAATCAGTCTTGATGACTAATCGCTGGAGTAGATTAATATGTTTTAGAAGGAAACCAGAATGAAAATGCCTACCATGACCACTTAGTTCCGTGACCACTCCAGTGGATAACTTCTAATGAGAAAATAATTTTAAAACTCCAGAAGTCTCCAGTCCTTTGTATGGGGTCCTGTGTACTTCAAATTTTACCTGGATAGTGATCTCCTTCCTCTACCAGCGAGGTCATTTCTGCAGCTGTTGGTGTACAGTACAGGCAAGGCCTCTTTGCAGCCTTCTGGAGGCTGACACTTATGTTAAATGTAAGGAGGCTGCTCAGGTCAGAGGTTATATTTTATTAGTTTATTCTTTGACTGTTTTATGCATGTATATAATCCATTCTAGTCACACTTGTCCCTCAAATTCTTTTATCCCTCCTACCCCTAAATCTCAATCCCAAATTCCACTTTCATATCTTTTGTTTGTGGGGAGGAGGGTGGCTTTGCTTTGTGAAGTACATGGTTTAATTTTGACTAGACTCTCAATTTACAAATCACAAAATCAGACAATGGCCAGAGCTACCTGTATATACTACAGACCTAACTAAAAAATACTATACCAGGGAAAGCGAAGGAAAACGAACACAGAAGTAACTGAAGGGTAAGCAGGAATGCCCTTCCTGTGTGTTTGGTCAAGAGGCCACTACACATCTGACTCTGTGTTTTCACTGCCTACACAATGGGCAACAGGCTCAGACCCATAGGGTGAAGTAAGCAACTTAGCAGACATGTTCCCTTCCAGGAAGAAGGCAGGCAAGGGCCTTTGTAAAGGGGTACAAATTGTGTCCTCAGTAACAAACTCCACAAACTGTTCTAAAAGTTTTTCTAAGTAGGGGGAGTGGCCTTACGCAGCTCAGAGGCATGTGAAATGGCCAAGAAGGAACAAGGAAAATCTTCACTGATAGAGAAACAGTGTGCTCTACAGTGTTTTGTAGGACCTTCTTTAAGCCTATTCTAGACAGAAAGACAAGCTTAAGTGGAAAGAACCCTGATGGTTCCCAGGAATAGCAGGTCCTCAGACAGTCTCCTTTATAATATTTATCCCACTGAGTTTTCTCAAACTGTTTGGAAGTGTCACCACTGCTTCTGGGAAGCCTAGTAAGAGTGGTGTACACTGGGCCCCTATACTTTTGGCATTGATACCATCCCCCCACCCTTGAAAGCACATGCTTGTAATTCCAACACGTGGGAGCCGAAGGGTCATTGTAAGTTCGTGACCAGCCCGGTCTGTATATAGCAAGTCGGAAGCCAGACAAAGATATACAGAAGAAGACCCTACCTCACAAAGCCAAAAACAAACCAAAGCAAAAGTTATGAGTCTGCTGAAGACATATAAGCAGCCCCCACTCCTCAGCATAAGACTTGGTCATTTGGTCATAACACTTTAATTTAGAGGAGGAAACATCAAGGTCATATATTGTGGTGGGTTCCCAATCAGCCTTTACAATTAATTAGTGGGTTTATTTCACTGAAGAATGGGAATTTCAAAATAATAGTTGGCAACGTCAAATAGTAAGTTAAGAAAGACTTATCTCTACATAGAATGGAAGCTCTCTCTTCTCTCAGACACCATTCCTTTTGTTTCCTTCCCTTTCAGTGTTTGCATTAAGTGGTGATCATTAGCCGTATTTACTAAGCTCAGGCTGCACCAGTTCCTGAAGCATCTGCTCCTCAGTAGGGCGGCCCTTGGTTCTTAGAAAAGTAACTTAAAGAATATCAGGAGTGAACCAAACAGCAGGAGCAGGTCAGCCCCTGAGGTGAAGGTTAGGGAGCCAACTTTTCCTGTGCTGAAATAAAAGACTTCAGAGAGGCGAAAAGGGAGAGGCCGAGCTCAGCGCTTAAGAACGTCTTTCATTTTGTTACACAAAGCTTCAAATGTACTGGTTTTCGTCCGAATGCAAGGTTTTCAGAACTGAGAAATAAAAGCTGCCAGTAGCTTATGTACCCAGCTGCTGGTAGACATGCATCACTACCAAGGAGGACATCAAAAGGCTAGGCAGAATGACAGCCTTCCTAAGACTCATGTGTCTGATCAACTGACGCTCAACAAGTGACGGTTTGTTCTTGCTAGGCATAGAGGGAGGTTGGGGGTGGATAATTTACATCAGGAGTAAGAGCCAAGCAGGCGTGGGGGGGAGCACAGAATGGGGGGAGGGAAATCCCTGACAAGGCTTCTTATCTGCAGGAAAAGACTAGCCCAGCCCTTCTGTTATTAATGACTTCCATGATTGCATCTATGAGCTGCAGAAGCAAATTTTCCCCTTGAGTAATCAAAATAATTGCCTGGGGAATTAAGCCCCGGGAACAAAAGGAGTCAACTGTGGGGCCTCTTAATGAAAAGGAACAAACACACCTTGGGGGGAGAACTAAAGGGGGGTAATCACCAGAAAAGCCTCTAGGAGCGGTCTTGTCTAAAGTGTCCAAGTGGCAGGGCTGGAAATGGCAGAATGATTGCCAGTCTCCAGGGGACTCTGTTCCCTCATTTCTGTCTGAGAGCTACCCACATGCTTGGTCTGCCTAATGCTCTTTCTTTCTTCTCTTTCATAGGGGACTACTGGATTTGAAGCACATATTGATAAGTGTTTGGAGCTGGCAGAGTATTTGTACAACATCATAAAAAACCGAGAAGGATATGAAATGGTGTTTGACGGGAAGGTATGTGCTCACACTGCAGCAATCCCCACGAGCATGCTCAGTCCCAGTCCTTACCCCTGGCATTTTCTGACGTCAGTAATGTGCTTTCCGGTTAAGTGGGACCATTACAAGGGCAAGCAATAGGTGGTGGGATGGCTCCTTTGAGTTGAAATAAAAATTGGACTCACAACTCTGAAAGGGAGATGCTCCAAAGACAATTACTCATTTAAATACAGGGATTATCTTCTGATCCTGAACAATCACTACATTTGAACCATCCTTGGAATTTTAGACCAGGCCTCAATCCTATTTTCTTCTTTTTTAGCCTCAGCACACAAATGTCTGCTTCTGGTTTGTACCTCCTAGTTTGCGAGTTCTGGAAGACAATGAAGAGAGAATGAGCCGCCTCTCAAAGGTAAGCACTGAGAGAGCCTTTGCTTTCATGTGTCTTCTTTGTGACATGCAATGTCTTTGTGGGAAAAGCAGCTGGAGCCTGGACCCATCTCCTCTATGAACTCTCACAGAGCCCAGATGTACAAAGTCATTGTTCCCTGACTTCACAATTACATTTGCTTGTTTCTAGAGAGAGAGAGTTTATGATGTCTTAAAATAATTGATTGGGTGACAATCTTCACTGACATTCAGAAAGAACCAAAAACCATCCTTGAAGGTCACTGGTTTTTGAAGGGAAATGGATACTGAGTTAGAAGTGCAAAAGAAACTTCAAATATGAGAAAGAGTCAGCCAAAAGAAAGAGGGGGGGGAGGGAGGGACAGAGGGACAGAGGGAAGAAGAAAGAAAGAAAGAAAGAAAGAAAGAAAGAAAGAAAGAAAGAAAGAAAGAAAGAAAGAAAGAAAGGAATGAAGAGAGAGAGAAAGAGAGAGAGAAAGAAAAGGAAAGGAAAGGAAAGAAAGGAGGGAAAATTATAAGGAAGAAAAAGAAAAGAAATGAAAAGACCTTCTTGAATACCAAGATCCTGGCTACCCAGTAGAAGGAGCAAGAATATTAACAGCTACCATTTGCAGTGTGTATGTACCTTGGGCTTCACATTTATCATGTTTTAGGTCATTTAAAGTCTCATAGTAGCTTATGTGAGTTGATGTGGCCAAGCACTGTTGCTGTCCCATTTTATTGAATGACCATGAGAAAATGTGACGTTCCCAAATTGCACAGTAAGGTTGACTCCAGAGCCTACACTTGATCTTGGCCAAAAGGCCGAGAAGCAATGACTCCAGAGCCTAAAGAGCGCTAAAGTCTCCTCTGGTTAGAAAGGTGCAGTTTTTTTAGATCTTTAATCTCTGCCTGTCCCAAACATTTACACATGGATGAAGTTTGCTTTATGGTGCACAACCCAGGGAGAGGACTCCAGAGCCTATTCCTCACAGTCCTGTAAGAATGAGAGGCCAGGGCCATCCATCATTTGTACGTGAACCTCAGAAGGTTAGTTGTTCCATCCATTGTTTCAGTGACTCAAGGAGGCTGCAGGCACAGCCAGGTTAGTCAGCCATGTATTCCCTACTGCTATGAGTCTCGCCTTAGCTTACTGACCTTCTGGAATAATTTATTCCCTTCTATGTAAAGGGAAGTGTAGGATTCTGTAGATCAGCAGTTCTCACCCCTTAATACAGTTCCTCGTGTTGTGGTGACCCCCAACCATAAGATTATTTCATGACTACTTCATAACTACAGTTTTGTTACTAATAAATCTCATGGTAAATATGTGATATGCAGGGTGTCTAATATGTGACTCTAAAGGAATCACAACCCACAGCTGGAGAACAACTGCTATAGATGGAAACCCCTTGGGAGATTTTTTAAAATATTAATATCTGCCCTTTAGCAATCTGGGACCACATTCTTCAGAAGGATGAAACTCACATGTATAGTCTTTTTTTTTTAATGTATCAGTGTATGTTGTATATGAAGGTATATGTTCAGATATACATGCAAATTTACATGTGTGTGCATATATGCATGTGTGCACCTGCATGTTGGAAAGAGAACAAAGTTAAATTTTGAAAAGGACAAGGCCAAAAACTTACCTAGTTCAGAGCTGTAGTATTCGAAAGCCACCAAAAGTCATTGCTGAGCTAAAATATCAAGACTTTGGGGCTTGCAATATAATGAGTTACTCCAGTTAGGTGGCTTATGAACAACAGAAATTGATTTTCAGTTGTGGGGCTGGGAAATCTGAGATCAAGAAGTCAGCAGATTCCATATCTACTGAGGGCCCACTTCCTGGCCCAGCAGTAGCCTTTTTCCCTGTACCCTCTCTGAGGTGTTAACTAATAAGGCAGAGCCATGGACCCCCATCTCCTGGAGGGTTATGATGGCAAGAGAGAAATTTGACAGGACACAATGTTCAGACTCTAGAAAGTCTTTCTCACATACTTCCTTGCATAAGGGGACAGAACTACTAAATTTAAGGAGCTTTTTTCAAGAGTTCACTGGTAGGGAACAAACATCTAGATAACAGAAGCAGTTCTGACTAACACAAGCATTCACTCCTTCATGAGGATGCAAAAGTGACGATCTGGTAGGTGCATTTCTGGTTGCCTAAGAGGCTGGCCCGGAACTCACTGTGTAGCCTGGCTGACCTAGAACTCATAAGAGATCCACCTGACTCTGCCTCCTAAATGCTGGGATTAAAGGTGGCTGCTCCACCACACCCAGCAATTCACTGACCAACCATTACCTGCATCTCTTTCAACAGCTTTTATAGTCCTCCACTAATTGATGGTTTTCAAAAGGCCAACAGATGGGTGTAATTAATAGCAAATTGGTAAAGAAGCAATTAGGACTCATACATGAGGTGACTTTGAAAAGTCTGCTATGGAGTAATGAAGAACTCATTTGGCAAGATTTTGACATTACAAAATGTCTCCGTGATGGCGTTCGTACATATTTCTAGGATTTAAACACAAAAGTTTTAACATATAGTGAAACTACATTTTCAAGATAACTGTATGTTGTTTTATGAACACCAGCCCTCTTGGAGGAAACAAATGCACAGTTTAATTATGAAGAGGTCTGCTGGTGATGTAAGAGATGGTTCCCATTTTCAACTGAGTCTATGACCACATACATCTCACATAAGAAGAAAGCATCTCTGGCTTCTCATTTCTGGCTGTGTCTTTGTAATGAACATCAAAGATCAGATGCTGCATTTACAAACTCCAGTGGCAGATTCATGTGGGCAGATCATGCATCTGAGTAGATGCAACTGAAACGTTACGTCTCATCTTAGCGAGCTGCTCCTCTCGTGCTCCTGCCATGTCTGTTAGAATTCAGAAAGCCCTCCACAGCTTCCTGCACCGTGTTAGGAAACAAAGGAATGAAAAGGTAGCATGTCTACCTTCCATCAGCTTACTGACGGGGTAGAAAGAGAAGATGAAGCTGCTCATCAGTGAAAGGCCAGTTAAGAAACCAGGATGTCAGGCTGAAGAGATGGCTCAGCGGTTAAGAGCACAAGAGCACTGACTGCTCTTCTGGAGGTCCTGAGTTCAAATCCCAGTAACCACATGGTGGCTCACAACCGTCTGTAATGAGCTCTGATGCCCTCTTATGGAGTGTCTGAAGACAGCTACAGTGAACTTACATATAATAAATAAATAAATAAGACCTTTGAGCAGGAGTGAGCGGGGTCTGGGCGAGAGGGAGAAAGGTGGGGGAGGGGAAGAAACTAGGATGTTGTTAGACTCAACATATAAGGTCCTGTAGTTATAACTCAGAAAAAAAGGGCTCACCATGGATGTGGCACTGTGGGGGGGAAAGCTGCAGGGCACAGGGGACTGAGGACATGCCACAGGATGACTGATGATAGGCATGAAATGACGAAAAATATAGATGCTTCAAAGGATATTTAATGAATGGCCCTTGTCAAAGTTGAAGACTAGCTTTGGTGAGCAGTTGGAGCTATGCTGATGACAAAAGGCCAATTTTCAGAGCTAGAGAGCACAGGCTTAATTCGAAACAGCGAAGAGAACCCAGGAAGTTGCAATGAACAGCGTAGGAGATGTCCCTCTGTGTATAAAGTCTTGTGGGGTCAGCTATTTACTCCTAGATAAGTCTTCAGATTATTTAGGCCTCCTTGTTTTGATTTTTTTCAAAATACTTATAAGAGAAAACAATTCAAAAAGAGAATGAAAAGAAACTATGTGGTAGTTGGGGGTAAGCCCTTTGGAGGGGCTAAAGGAAGGCACTGGGTATTCCTTCATTGCGCTCTGACTTATTTTTCTTTTCTTTTAAAATTTTTTTATGATTCCTTTTTTAAAAAGTTATTTTTATGTAGGGCTGCAGAGATAGCTCAGTGGTTAAGAGCACTGGCTACTCTTCCAGCGGTCATAGGTTCGATTCCCAGAAACCACAAGGTAGCTCCATCTGTAATTGGATCTGATGCCCTCTTCTGGTGTGTTGGTGACAACATGCTCATATACATAAAATAAATAAATAAAAATTTTAAAAATTTTACGTTCATTGGTGCTTTGCCCACATGTATGCCTGTGCAAAGGTGTTGGATCCTCTGGACCTGCAGACAGGTATGAACTGCCATGTAGGTGCTGGGAATTGAACCTGGGTCCTCTGGAGGAACAGCCAGTGTTCTTAACTGCCTTTCTATTTCACACACACTGGTGTTTTGCCTCCATGTATGTCTGAATGAGGGTGTTGGATCACCCAGACCTGGGGTTATAGGTACCCATGATCTGCCATATGGGTGTTGGGAATTGAACCCAGGTCTTCTGGAAGAACAGCCAGTGCTCTTAACTGTTGAGCCATCTCTCCAGCCCTTACTTAATCTCTTGATACAGGGTCTCTTAGGTGAACCTGAAGCTTACCATAACAGCTAGGCTGGCTGTCCAGTCAGCTCCAGGACCAGCCTGTCTCCTCTCCACAGCATCAGTGTTACAGGCGTGTACCCTGTTTTTTAGAGGCATGTACCATGTACTCCTGGCTTTGGTACATGGATGCTAGGGGAGCACAGGTTCTCACGTTTTCAAGCAAGTGCGCTCACCCACTAAACCATTTCTCCAGCCCTCTATTACTTTTATCCATCACTTGATACTGAGGCTTGCCCCTCACGATAATTTTTTATTAACAATGCTTTCTTTCAATGACATTGCATTTTCTGGGGTGAAACTATCTTCAGTGTAGTACTGTTAAACCATTTAACCCCATGACAAGATTTTTCCCATTCCCTCCAAACACTAACAAACCATCAAGGCAATGAGTCTCTTATTATATTTAGTTTTTAATATTTTGAGCCGTTTTTATTCTCTGATCTCATGAACACTTGAAGCAGTTCATTCAAGAGAAAATTGTGGTCCTGTTTGGTTAAAAACTAAGAACATCACTTGCTGTGGGGTGCGTTGCATAACATACTAACATTGATTGCATAACTAACATAAAAGAGGTACCTAGAGAAAGTCATTGCACTGACATGGTCTCTCCCACAGGTGGCGCCAGTGATTAAAGCCAGAATGATGGAGTCTGGGACCACAATGGTCAGCTACCAACCCTTAGGAGACAAGGTCAACTTTTTCCGCATGGTCATATCAAACCCTGCAGCAACTCACCAAGACATTGATTTCCTCATTGAAGAAATCGAACGCCTGGGCCAAGATTTGTAATCACCTCACTCATCAAATGGTTTCAGTTCTCTAGGTAGACAGCTAAGTTGTCACAAACTGTGTAAATGTATTTGTAGTTTGTTCCAGAGTAATTCTATTTCTATATCGTGGTGTCACAGTAGAGTACAGTTAAAAAAAATCAAAACCAACAGGAAACATCGCTCCTTTTAAAAATCCTTTCTTCAGTTTAGAATACCTCTCTAATAATTAGTGACAAAAGGCTATGTTCTAATCAGTAAGAGAAAGTATAAAGTTGTTATAAATAACTTCCCTTTTAATATAGTATGCTAGCCCAATCTTATTTTCACTTCAGAGCAGTAGTACTGAATAGTGCCAAATCACCCTTGAATCATAAAGGTTCTCTGGGGTGCAGTGAAAAGGTCAAAGTAAATATAAAATGTATGCGGACAAGAAAAGCTCTTGCCTTTTTCATAGTATTAGGAAAAGAATTTATAATTTACCTACAGCAACATTTCAAATGTATTTAAATACATATAATTTTACAAAAAGAAAAATATATATTAAAAAGAAATCCTATTTTGTAACATATAGATTTTATTTTATATGGGTTATACAAACTGCAGGGGCAGATATGAAACCTAAGCCAGATTTATTTCTTTATTTTTTTCTCTTTCTATCTTTCTTTTCATGGAGGCACAATAAAACACTTTAGCAAGGTAATTTTAACATAGAACCCACAGAATTCTTTTACAATGTAACAACTTACCTTAGTTTATACTGTGGCTTACCATATCTCCAAAGATAGTATTTCAAAACAAACACACACAAAAATGATACTTCTGAAAACAATTGATCAGCTTAACACTTAAGATTTTCTTCCTGTTTAGGCGTTGCACTAGTTGGCCCTAGCAGACCCAGTCTATAAGCCTGGCAAGCCCAGCTTGGACCCAGATCCTGGCAAGCATGTCCGCTCTGCTTCCAGTGTACCTGCTTTCAACAAAGGTTATTATATTAGTTCTTGAAGTGTCTTTTCAAACCATATTCTTTTATTAGATCATTTGGATTAATTAGGGAAAAAAGCTAAAAATAAAACCTAATCAGCCCTAGCAAAGAGGGGTGCAGCACACTCCTTAAGTGTGACGAGCTCAGAATATTAAACCCAGCTATGGGAGATGTGACCTCTGTGTGACAATAATGGCTTCCTCCCAAATACCATTTTGCTATTGTCTGAGGGAAGGGGTCGTTTGCACCCCGGATGCTCTCTTCTTCAAATTTCTTCTTCATCCTTTACTTTAAAGCCTCTCCTACTAGACTCCCTGCCCCCAGACACCCAGTGATGAGTTACTATCCCACATGGCTCTTTTCCTTCCCTGAAATGAGTTCCTCATGCAAGCAGTTTGAAGATAGCCTAAGAACTTTTATCCGACTCCCACCAAGACCCACAGTGACTAGAATGTGCAGAGATCACTGGAATTTAAAATAACAGTTTGAAAATAAGTTTCTTTCCCTGTAAACTGGATGGAGAGCTATCCACAACTCCTGTAATAACTTTAAGTCACAGATGAACAGATCAAAATGCTGGTAGAACTATGGCCTTCTCCATGCAAAAGGCAGGTACGAGTCTGGAAGCATTCTCCCACTCCATATGGATGGCATCTCGATACTCAGAAAGATATGGGAACAGAAGAAAGAGGCCCTGTCCTTACCTACCACAAATCTTCATGACTTTGCCCCAGACCCTATTTGACCAGACATACTGATCCTCGGTATGAATGTAGCTTCGGGCCCTTGCTGTCTAGACAGCCAATGGATTCCCTGAAGCATGGAAAAGAACTCCCAGTGCACCAGAGTCTTATGAAGTAATAGCCCTCCTCTTTCAGTACTCCCTAATGGGCAAGCATGACTTTTCTTCCTAGAACCTGGCTACGGAGAGTAAACATGCAGCTGTCCGTCCATCCTGAGCCTCAGGCCCACAGATCTCACTTCCCAGACAGAGACTTACTTATCAAACCCACTGACCCACTTAGAGAAGGCAGTAGAGCCTAGTGTCCTGATAGATGAAAAAGCTTAATTAGCCCTTGGGGGACAGACTTGGTAATTCAAGCTGGCTTCTAGTTTGATGAAATGACAGAATTGAAAAAGAAGTGTCCATATACTTTTTGCTAGTGAACTGGATCTCCAACTCCCTTCTTCTCCAGATTCTAGGAGCCTTGCTCAGGCATGGAAGTCTCTTCATACTGTATCCTAGGAAAGGAGATACATGCATGCCTAATAGGTCCCAGTGCTTTAATAGATCCTCTACAGTAGCTCTGCCATCCACTCAAGAGAGTGCTAAGGAGGATGGGAAGGAAGAGTAATAATGAAGGGAGACTGTATTGAACATTGGTCCAAATCCCCAGTGCCAAAGGTCTCTATCTGTGATCTTTTTTTCTTTTTTTCATTTTAAAACATTGGTTTCAGCTTTAATCAGAATTGATATGGCCATTTTTATTTATACAGCAATATTTCATTTATTATTTAAAATACTTGAAAAAAGTACAGTATGTGTTTATCTAAGACTTCTAAATGGTATAGACTTCATGTATTGTCACAGAATTTGAGGAAAGAAAATCGTGTGTGTGTGTGTGTGTGTGTTGTGTTGCCGTTAGTACATTGTTAGGACTGTCTTGTCACCTCAGATTGAGGTTGTGCACTTTATATTGAACTGTGTGGTGTTGCAAATCAACATGTGTTGCTGTGAAGCTTGCACAGTGTATTATCAGTGTGAATTCTTCTATGTGGTAGCTGCATTGAACTGTGAACTTTGAGATTGTGAGAACTACATTTGCATCTGTTCCTGTCCTTGCCTCTCTTCTCCCTCACCCTCTCACCCGGTCCCAAGCTATGTGCCCTCTCCATCGGCTCTTAGAGAAAACATAATCTCAACTAAGCCCCACCCTAAGAAATCTCTTTGAGAACTGTGTGATCGCACACAAAATGCTTCATCTCTGAGGCCAGAGAAACCAATTATGGAGTGTCACAGGCGGCTGACAGGGCAGGTGTTGACTCTGCAGGGTCTTGGAGTAGGTGCTCCTCCTCAGAATATGGACAAAGGATGCACAGGTGTAAATATAGTAACAGGACAAAGAAGCAAAAACATCAAACCAGGTATCATCTTGCACGTGCTTTTCTGTTTTCAAGTGCTAAATGCAAACACTGTGTATTAATTAGTTGTGTGTGCCAAGATCTTGTTGCCAAATGGTGTTTCTGAACAATGTCAACGTTTCCCCAGCACCCCTCCATTAACTAAAGACAGAAAAAAATACAAACGTGGCAACCTGTTCTTCCTACCAAATATAAACTTGTGTATGATCAAAGTATTTTACCTGTGTTTTCTCTCTAAACCCAAATAAATGTGTAAATGTACACACGTCGGGCTCTGCGTGCTCACTTCACACTCTGTCATGTGGTGGAGGTCATTTTTAATTTTTAATGACTTTTCCTGTCTTCGAGTCTTACATCTGCTATCACCCTCTCCTGTCATATCTGGAGGATACCATTGCACAAACCCTGGTTTCTTCTTCAAACAGAAATGATCAATTAAAAATATTTTATTATGAAATTTTCACCTAAGCATAAAAATGAGAAGATAAAATAGCCAAGTTCCATGTGGCCTTCAACCTTTACTGTTATAGAGCCCAAATCGTATTTATTTCTCTACTTTCTCCCTGACACCAAATTAGGTTTTTATGAATATGTGAAAGATAAGAACTTTCACATAGGAAGGACTCAAAATCCTATGATTACTCTCTGTTGCCAGGAAGAATTCCCCACTCTTTTTGATATGAAAGAAAATATCTCAGGAGAAATAAGAATGCAGGTTCTGCACTTGGATTACCTGGGATCAGGTTATGTATGACCCCATCACTGACTCTCTGGGATATCCCAAGAATATCACCAAGCCTCCTTGAATGTGTTCCCCCATTTTACAACAGCAAATTTCTTCCAATTGTTTTTGTGTTGATTAAATTGAATGCATGTATGATACTGAGAATGGCTCCTGGTATTTGTATTGATCAATTTTCATCATTAGCTTGACTGAATTTACCTTGAAGTGTGCCTTGTGGGGGTATTTGCATAGCTATTTAACTATGAGGGAAGGCCCACTCTTAATATGGTTGATGGTATGCCATGGGCAGGGGCCCTGAACTGAACAAAAAACATAAGAGAAATCTGAGCACCAATATTCATCTCTCTCCTGACTGCAGATGCAGTGTAGCCAGTCCCCTCTCACCCCACTACTGTGAGACTGTATCCCTTTAAACCATGAGCCAAACAAATCCTCCCTTCTTTGAATTTTGTTTGTCATGCACTTTGTCGCAACAATGAGGAAAGTAGCTAATATAGCATTCAATAAGCAGCAATCAACAAGTCTTGATTGTGTCATATTTTATTATGGATTCTGTAAGTCACCTCTTGTCATGTCCTTAAACACTCAAACTCCACTGAGCTCCTCCACTGTTGACTCTCTCTCAGTGGTGTTCAGTGAATACCCACCTAACAAGTTTAGCCCAGAATCATATTTAGCATTGTCTTCTACTCACTCATGTGGATTGCCTAGCAACCCTATTTATCCATGCCCATCTAAAGCACATAGAGTCCTAGCAAATTTCCCTCATAACCCCCTGTGGTATCTATCGTGAGAAGCTGCTCCATCCATATTTTGTGCGTCTTTCCCAGATGCTTAGAGTAATCTTGACTAAGTCCACCAATGTCCCTGAGCTTCTCCCTTAGCTCCCTTAACTAAGGGAATGGGTCCTAGGAGGAAGGTAGTTGGGATATGATTCAACATACAAATTTAGGCCTGTGTCCCCTCAGCCTAGAGAGATAAAAGATTCAGACCTTCCACTTTCAACACACACTTCTTCTGTCCTGTGCCCACTTGAACATTCCCTAAAATGCCTGTCAGGTTAAAGGCGTCACATCTACCTCTGACATTGGGGTATCTGTGTGGAATCACTTATTCACCCCTTAGGTATCTATTTTCCCACCCCCTAGGTTCTAGAACCTAGCTCCACCACCTGATGGCCTGCACTGAGCCCCTCAAGTACACAAGCCCCTCAGTCTACAAGTGACACTCACTTTCTACTCAGTCTGGGATCCCACTGCTGGCCAAAGGTGGCCCTGCCTATTGCC